AAAAAGAAAAAAATGTCATCAGCTTGTTGCAATGACATGTTTTGCCTTCTATGGTTCCAAGTCACTCTCCTGTCAACTAAAGCTACATTTAAAAACTTAATCACTTAACTCTTCAGATCCCCAAAGATTTACTTTTCTATTCTCCCTCTCCCCGGCATTTACCTCAATGCTTTACGATTATGTACCAATCTGCAGAATTTAAAGTAATATATAATTTTATTTGAACCTTAAAAACCAATCTCTAAATAAAAGCCAGTAATGCTGCTTCCATATTACTGCTAAGAAAACTAAGTTAAAGGACTTACCCATATTTATAGGATTAATAAGTAACAGTCTAAATTTAAACCACCCGCTTACAGTGTCTTCAATATAACTTCAACTCTCAACTTTCTCCTTCCCCAAATATACTTCTGTATCAACACGCCTATACTCATTTTTATTCTTATGATGTTACTACCTCCCAGAATTTATAAAACCGAATATCAAGGTTTGGATGCACAGAGTTTGTTGTGAAAAACATGATGAAAATAAGATAAAAAATAGTTGACTGTGCTAGCTGTAAACATTAGCATGTCAAAGTCTTTATGCAGATGACTGAAAAAGTTAAAAGAAAATGTTTTTAAAATATTGTAAAGCTATAATATTTTAAAAAATTAAAACAGCTCACACCACTCAGGAGTTAGGTTTGGTCAGTGTAGGAGAGATCCAATTATCAAAAAGCAAATACTGGGACTAAGATGAGTGACCTCCTGATGGCTTCTCAGGGCCTGCATTCATTAGTACTGATAAATAAACCACCAATGAGTGTTCTTATGTGGCTGTGAAGTTACTCTGAAAATAAAAATAAATCACTACTTAAGGCCTGGCATAGTGGCTCATGCCTGTAATCCCAGCACCTTGGGAGGCTGAGGCAGGCAGATCACAAGGTAAAGAGATGGACACCATCCTGGTCAACATGGTGAAACCCCATCTCTTCTAAAAATAAAAAAAAAATTAGCTGGGCATGGTGGTGCGTGCCTGTAGTCCCAGCTACTCGGGAGGCCGAGGCAGGGGAATCGCCTGAACCTGGGAGGTGGAGGTTGCAGCGAGCGGAGGTTGCAGTGAGCCGAGATCGCACCACTGAATTCCAGACTGGCGAAAGAGTGAGACTCTGTCTCAAAAAAATAAATAAAATAAAATAAAATAAAAATAAATAAATCACTACTTAAAAAGGTACAATGTTGTCTTTCTGATCTTTAAGAATTATGTGATACAGTTTGTTCAAGCAATAATAACATACTTTTCCTGAGAAACACAGATTGAGTCTTCCTGTTAAATCAAATCTACACCAAAGCTAAAAGTGAGAGCTTAACTTCAGATTATTTCCACCTACTAAATTTAGAGTTTATCCTTTTATGTCTAGACACATACCAGAAACTATTTTCCTTTTTTATATATGAGAAACCAGCCAGGAGTGCACTTTGGGAGGCTGAGGTGGGAGGATCATTTGAGGCCAGGAATTCCAGACCAGCCTGGGCAATACAGTGACACTTCATCTCTACAAAAAAAAATCTTTTTTTTAATTAGCCCAGACTTGTGGTGCACACCTGTAGTTCCAGCTACTCAAGAGGCTGAGGTGAGAGGATAGCTTGAGCTCAGGAGGTAGAGGTTGTAGTGAGCCAAGATCATGCCACTGCACTCCAGCCTGGGTGACAGAGCAAGACTCTGTCTCAAAAAAAAAAGCAAGAAAAACCTTTAATAGGCATTTTAGGTTCTTCACTTGCACCACTTTCCTTTTGCACTTCTCTTCAAAAGGTAATTTATCAACATGTGATAAGTTAGTTTCTCAGTAATATACTGCTTATTGTAAATGTTTTGAGTATAGAGACAGTAAGCAAGATTTACATTCCTGCTGCTCCCTATCCAATGCCTATAATAGTTCAAACTACATTTATCTCAAAGATGACTCAATACTTTTCAAAAAGAATTGAATAAATTTGGAAGACTAAGCATTCAATATGGATGCAAAAAATAGAATATGAAAGAAGGGAGAGAAGAGTGGGAGAAGAGGGAGAAAAGAATTTCGGTGTACTTTCAATGATTAACTATAATATTTTGCTTTTCACAAGAATGTCAGTTTCTCGTCAATCAAATAATCCTATAATTTTACTTAATATTAATGCAAAAATTTATAGAATTTCCATGAAATGTAAAATGGTCATTTATAAATGTAATAATATGAAGAACTGTTTATTATCCCATTTATAAATAAGATCTGTTAAGAGCACTAATCTCATAGAACTTTTGTGTCCCATATAAAATTCAATGTATCTTAGTAATTAAATAGTTGGTCCAATAGCACACCACCTAATACTAAATTTAAGGGGCAGCTAAGGCTAACTAGTTCTTGAAACTACTGACATTAATAAGCAAAATAACAATGAGAAAAATATTTTTGTAAATTACCTAGAATACATACATATAATATTCTTAATCCTTTTTAAATTAAGGAGCCACCTGAAACAGAATGCCAAAATCTTTATATAAATCAGCTTATAAAAACAAAACTGGCAACAAGTTTCAGTGATATGTGATTATTCTGGCGAACGCTTATTTCCATTATAGAGAACTATTATTACCAGGGTTATTAAAATTAAATCTAAACTCCATCAGTGAGTACATTTGCATGACACTACTCAAATAAGCACATATGAATTTTGTGGCAAGAAGATACAACTTTCATTTGTTCTCTGAAATTCCAAGTATTCTAAAAACACAGAATACTCTGAAAGTACATTCAAGCATGGTTTTAAAAGTTCTTTTTTGTAGTTTTTTGAACTACTGGATCATAAATTTAACAGCTCCTAAGTTAGAAAACATTTTACTACCAAAAGAAAATTTCTCACTAATATCAAAGTTATATTAATAACCCTGAAAATTACTGACAGAATAAACTATGTGTTTCTCCAAAACTGGAAGCTAGTTCAACTGCAACACTGTCAGTTGGGAAGCCTAATATATTAATATGAATTAACTAAGTCACAAAGTCAATAACTTAAAAAATAAATATATCACTTAAGAGTAACGTCAAAGAAGTAACAAGTATTATTTCTTACACCCTTGTATCACACAGAGATTCAGTAGTATGCCTTTGGAGTAAAAAGCTTCTCTTGGTCAAATGAGAACCAAGATAGCCAAGTGCTGCCTCAACTAGCATTTTTTGTTGCATGTTCTAATGCTGAGTTTCTCTATCATTTTTACCGCCACCCACCCTCATTCCAGTTGTCATTTGGCAAGGTCTGGAGACATTTTGATCGTCACTACTGGGAGAGATGCTACTGCCTAGTTTCCCAGGTGCTTCCCAAACCCCTCCTGAGAACTACCATGTACATTCTTTACCTAGTGACAGTATCAATTAACCTCCCTATCTCAAATTGTAGCTTCAAACTGTCCTAAAGCGGAGCTCAAAACAATAGGTCATTAAGCTGCGGTCAGAGATATGTGCCAAGCTCTAATGCCAGATGTTAAGAGACAGAAACCCTAGCCTGGTCTATACAGTCAAATATCATGACTAAACAAGATTTCTCTGCCTGCCATCGCCAACTCAGGAAGTTGACTTAATACAAATCAATCTAAAGTAAATCTACAAAATGCCCACTATGGTTTTAAAAGAGAGAAAATGTCAAAAAGTCTGGGAAACTCCAAGACCAGATAAACAAGAGCTCGCATCAAAATAAATGGGCTTCAAGAGGAACAAAGGCAGCATCCCTCCCAGAAGCGGAACCCCTCTAATGCCCCTCTCAGGTTAGGAGCCTGCGAATGGCAACAAAAAGACATCTGCCAAGACAGCAGAATGAGGGGCCACTTAACCCAAATGAGGAACACACTCCTTAGGAGAAAGGAGAATCCTCCTCATTCCTACTCTGGCCCAGGGACCCCTACGTGTAGCTTCTCCTTCTGTCCTTTCCAGATGGTCGTTTTATACCAATTCATCAATTTTTCCTAACCACTGTATAAAGGCTATGTTGGGAGGTGTTTACATATACCACTTACCACGATGGCCAGAATAGTGGGAGACACATAGTTCTGAAAGGACAGCCTATTGTGCACTGGAGAGAGTAACAACGTGCCTTTAGGTTACGGCCCTCCAGGGAAAATAGGAGGTTAAGTGTGATTTTGGTTTTAGGTGAGATAATGAATAGTGGAGATGTTTTTGAAAGTGTTCACTATGAAAAAATGCTATGCTAACCATTAATATACTCTGTAGTTTGAAAGACTACCACTGACATACCAAAAATACCAATTTAAAACAAAATTTATCCAAAACTTGAGAAGTTGGTTCTCTGGATTACTCCTCTCTCTACTTCCACCAATATAGCTCATGTGAGGTATATATGAGGTATACATAAACCTCACACTCTAGACAATTATTTTCATTTCTCAAACACCAAAAATGATTGTACTAAATAATTTAGTCAGTTGACTAAAAATAGTTTTTAAATGCTAAACTGAAAAAGCCTAAAGAGTAGGAAAACTAAAAAACAACGTATAATGTGTAATCAAAATGTGAATACACTGATGTTTCTGCTACCATCAGTGGAATTTACTGTCTTAATTAACATATGTAAGGCTACAGATATTGTGATATTTAGGTGAAAGTTCTATATTTTCCATACCATTTTTGTAAGTAGTCCAGTGCCTCCAAACGAGCACCAATCTCAAAAGTGATTCCAGGGCGATTTGGGGGCTTTTTACTCATCTTGAGATCCTATTCTTCAGTATTCTCTTTTCACTACCTCAAGAGAAAGAAAAAAGTTAGATTCCGATGCAGAAAATGCATAGGAAGTAGAGTATAAGGGAACAGGTAAAATTAAATTTAAACAGAATTTCTAAAACAATACATGGGAATATAAAATACTTGCCAAATTGTTAAGAAATCTGAAGGAGTATTACCAACATCTCTATATAAAGTTCTGTGCAATCTGCAGGCAATCTTGATAATGACTTAAGAAAAAGAACAAAGAAAACATAACTATCTAAAAAGAATGAATAAATGGACTGTTAAAAATTGTTAATAGCTAAAAATGCTTTATATTTTAGCTTGAAGATACCCAAGAAAATTCTCCATGGGGACAGTTGAAAATGCTTTCCTGCCTTTGAAAAATTAAGGCAACTGAATGTTCTGGAATACGACTACTGAAATTCTTGAAAACAAAATCAATTTTTTAATTTCAACAAACATTTGTTGAGTGCCTCATACTACAAAACATTAGATAAGGCCCTACAGCACACAAAGATGGAGGAAACAGTGGGCACAATCCTCTGCCAGTAAAGATACCACTAATTCCTCTTGGGATTAGGATGTTTCATTACTCATGATCTCCCACCTTGGCAGCATATAATTCAATAATTTTAATTTAACATATAGTGTTACAAAAGAGACTGCTTTCTTATACTTCACATTCAACAAGCAATAATATGCTTTTGTTAACTCTGAGTATTTCTACTATATTTCAATATAGACAGTGTCCACATTGATAATAAAAGTGGTTGTAATGCTAGAACAAAAACTGCAAAGGAGTACCTATGTATCCCTAGGTCGTTCACATGCAAAGTATTATATTTTGGGCCACACTGGCCACCGAGCACATTTGAGGTGGCCTCTTTTTCACTAATGGGTATATGAGGAACATGAATAAATTTTGAGATAACCTAATCAAAACATAACTCATAATTAGAAATGTAAATTGATTGTTACCGGGGCAAGGAGAGATCCCTAAAATGTCCTTCAATATTTGAGATCACTAATGACTATGTTCCCTAGAGTTTAAAACGAAAAAAAGAAACACACACACTTGTCATTTTTTATAATGGTTTTGTCACAATTCAAAATAGACAAAACAGAACAGCAAACATAAAATTTCAACTGCTCCCTCTTTTCTCTTTGAAAGAGCCTGATAGATCAGGGAAAAAATAGCATCAATACGGGCCATGAAAATATGCGAACTCAAATACTCATGGTTGGAGGGGGAGAGTGGGTATCCTCCTGCTATGGCATAAGCAAATATTAAAGCATTAAAATGTTAACAGGGATCTTGCCCAGGGTGTAGGTGGTGCAAAAGAACAAATGTATGAATATTTCTAACAGAGGTCTCGTCAGTGTGCAACATGTAAGGCAGTTACTTAAATGTGTAGAAATCGAATCAACCTTTTCTGCTGTCCGTCACAGGAAGAATTCAGTAAGAGGTAGTAAAGGTACACTAACATCTTCTAGGATCAAACTTACAGCCCATAATTAAGCGATGGATTGAGTAAGTATAATCCCCCACTGACACTTAGGGGTGAAGTACCAGACAAAAACAAGATTTTCCTTTGTCTTAGGTTTGAAGAGGGAAGGATGAAGAGGGACTTGAATTAAGGAACTTTTATAAAGTAAGACAGCCTACTGGGAGTAAAACTTGAAGCAAAAAGAAGGCAGAGAGCACGGAGAGGAATAAAAACAGAAAGGAAAGGAGCAAAGAATGGCAAGAAATAGGACAGTGGAAGTTTTCGGAGATGACAAGTGTGAGAGAGAAGAAGAAATGAGCAAGAAGACATAGAGACGGATAACGTAAAGCAATGGTCAGAGAATGACCGCCAGGCCAAAAAAGGTGAGGAGGTGAAGCCAGAGAGGGGTGGCAAGCGACAGGCAGGAAAGGCTGAGACCGGGCTGGCAGGGAGCTGGAGAAGCCTCCAGGTTTGACAGCCATCCGGCCCTCGGCAGGGGGGTAAGGAAGGGAGGGGAAGGGGGAGCGGCGGCGCCCAGACAATAGGGCCGGCGAGTTACGGGGAGGGAGGCAGGAGGGGAGCGGGCCGGAGAGAGAGACACCAGAATGGGGCCGTCCCGGGCGGCCTGGCGGTGGCCAGGCGGCCTCCCGGCTCAGCCGCCGCCGCCTCTTACCGACTCGGCCTCCTCTCTGCACAGCAGCCGGGCCGTCCGGGGCCGAGCTGGGGTACGAGCAGGGCGGCCAGCCCGGGCCTCTGCCTCTGCCTCCGCCCAGGCAGCGGCCGGGGAGGGAGCAGGAGCGGAGCGAGCTGGGGCCGCAGCGCCGGATCGGCCCAAGGTTTCGCGGGAGGGAGCTGGGTCCGAGCCCTCAAGCTCGCTCAGGGTCCGCTGCCATCGCCGCCGCCACCGCCTCCGCCGCCGGCCAGCCCTGACGCGACGCCGGGCCCCGGCGACGTCAGCCGCCCGCGACGTGCCGGAAGCGGGCCTGGCCTTGTCACGTGACTCGCGAGGGTTGGGCCCGGGCCGCGCAGCAGATTGGCGGGCCGTCGTGGGAGGCGGGGCTTTGCGGTCGTTGATGGACCGCTAGCGGGCGGGGCTCTGGGTTAGTGGAGGAAAGAACGCGAGCTCTTGGTGCCTATTGGTAGTTGTGAAGTGTTTGACCTTTGAGATTTGAGGACGAAGGGCATTGCTTGTTATTCTTGATTCGTTGGGAACCACGTCCCCCAAACCCCTCTACCCAGGACCCTTGACAAACTTTTTCAAATGCACTACATGCTTTCTTAGCTATCCACCCCATTCCACATCAAGAATAGAGCATGGTTACTGCTACAAAATCAATAAACCTCCCTTGAATGGATACTTTGTGATAGACGCTAGGCTGTAAATATGTCACCTGACAATCACAACTGTACAACTGTGTTACAATTGTATTGCTTTCCAGTCTTGGAGATCTTTACAATACAAAGAACCATATTACTAAGATGTGTGTGTGCGCTCGCGCTGAGGCACAGCTGAATAACCTTAACCTATGGCTACATTGATATCACTTCCCCAGGACTACACAGCTAATGATAGCAGAACTGCTTTTATTGAATACCTACCCTCCCAAACTCTACTAAGCATAGGAGACAGTATCCCTGCTGTGGGGAGAAACCAATAAGTGAACACACTGAAAATAATATTGAGATGAAACATCTTTTTTCTCTTGCTTTCCACTGTACCACTCTGGCTTTCAAGTGCAACACTGCATACAAATGACACATATTTATCTTGCTTCATAGTGTGGAGTTAAAATAGCAAAGTAACTCTCTTTAAGCTTCAGTTATAGTAAGATTTGGTAAAATAAACAATCTTTTTTTTTAATTCAACAAACATTCATTTAGCACCTACTATATCACTAATAGCTACTGAGCTAGACTGAGCATGGTGATACATAGAAAAGATAGAAATAAGACAGTCTCTAGTGGATATTTGTTGCCTTGTTATTTGGTTGCCCGGCATCTCAACTCTCTTTCCATGTTTGAGAAATTTCTCATCATGATTGTCGTTAGTTCAGAACACCAAATACTTGTAGCATCTTCCTTAGGACATGACAGGATTATACTTTCTACCCTCCTTAGAATTATGCATGGCTATTTGATTTGCTTTGGCTGATAAAATGTAATTAGAAGTGAGATTTGTCATGGCCGGTTGGTAATTTTTAACGCCAGCTCACCAAACTTTCTGTCTCTGGCACAGTGTAAAGCGGTGTTCGAGATGATAGCTGCTCTACCATCTGTCTAAAACTGTCTACCAGGTTCTAGACAGATTATAATGAACCAAGGCCTCACTGATAATCTACAACTACTGTGTTGTATAAGGAAAAAATAAATATTTATTATTTTAAGCTATGGAGATTTGGGGGCTGGATTGTTTGTTACACAGCATAATCCTACCCAAACTAAATGATACATCCAACCTTATGTATCTTGGATGCAGAATCAACCTCCCACTAAATAAGATGAAAATATCAGAAACTTATGTTGCCAGTCTCCCTTGCAGCTAAAGTTCTAGTCTCAAGTAAAACTCTCTTACCAATGACTTTGTCGCTAATGATGTTCAAAATAAGGAAACTTTTCTCCTGCATCTGTGGCAGTACCAGTATTCAAGTTTCTGATGGTCAGCCTAGAGTTAAATCTTTCTGAACTCTGGCAGAACCCCTGCTGAATCACAAGCTAGTAAGTGAGAAATAATAAATATCTATTATTATACACCACTAAAAATTTGAGGTTGTTTGCAATTTAAATAAAATACATACATAAAGAATAACACATATTCTGTCCATTCTCCCAACTATTTGTTGAGAATCCACCCTGAAAAGACGATTGTTCCATTTTAATTGGAACTTGACGATGGGTCTTCCAATAATGACACTTGAAAGAAAAAAATTAAAATGAGGTCTTATATAAATGATTCCTGGCTTCAGTGGATTGAATAGGCTTAGTAATCCTCTGTGGAGTTAATACCATCCCCTAGAGGGCACTTTGGAAATGGAGGAAGGTATTTTAGTTGTCTCAGGATTGGGGTCGGGCGCTGCTACTACTTAGTGGGAAGGAACCAGGGCTACTAGACATCCTGAAATTTACAGTGCAGTTCCATACCTTGAAGAATTGCCCCAGGTCATGCATGACTTCTGGATGTTCTTCCAGACATTCATGTAGGTGAAAAATCTGTTTATAATTGTCTGTACCTAAAACTGCATTTCACATGTAAGTTTTCACATATAAGTATTTTTGAAAGGTTTTAATATACATTAAAAATTTCCAGGAATGAAGCAACTATGTAGCGTAAGGGAACACTGACCTTTTTTTCTGAACATTACCAAGAGTCTATCTCATTTTAAAATATCATGCCACCAATGGCTAATTATTCATAGTATTTGAGGCCCTGATAGAACTCACCTATGTCAGTCTGGTTGCGTAGCTGTTACATTTAGGAAAATCTAAATTTAGATACAAGCACGTCACTACTTCATTATATATCTCTGTGAGACATGGCTGAACGTTATGTATTGAAAAATATATATGATTTCTTATGAATTATTTTCATAAAATTTGGTTTTTTATATTATCATTGTCATATTGGTTTTTAAGTATATATATATAGCTTGGTTATGTTATTTATGAATTTAATGTCAGAAAGTGGAGAGGGTGTGAACATAATACTGACTCTAAAAGGGAGTCTTTTAGACTTATCTCAAGCCTGATAAAACTGACAAAAAATTCATGTAGGATGTCATTTCCTCTTTTAACCACACAGAGTCAAAGGTCAGGATCAGGGTAGGGATACAGGATATACAAAATTCTAGTACTGACTCCCCGGCCATGTAGTGAAGCTATGCATTGCTCTGTCCCTTCTCCTCTCTTCCACCCAACACACCCTCTTCCAGATGGTTGATGCCCAGCCATCAGTCACTCCATCTCCAAATATAGAAAGAAAGAACTTACAGCTGTGTTTGAGCAGAACCAAACAAGCAGTGGGCAAATTATCTTGAAACAACAGTTGTTAGGCAGAAATCACTGAACTAAATTCCTCCAACATTAAAAATATGAATATGGAACCATAATGTCTCCTGGAATATTTAACAAATGTTTACCTATTTTAAGGTAGAAAAAAAGTTACCACTAAATACCAGATACTTCTTGATTACAAATAAAACACAAGAAAGTTACTTTTTGTGTGTTTACTTAATATTTATAATTAGCATTATTAAAGAAAATCAAAGCAATGCAAGGTTTTTTTGTTTTGTTTTGTTTTGTTTTAGGTTAGTTTAGCAGAAATTTAAACGGCTGTGATAGATAACCTCCGTCAAATCTCTTCATTCCAGGTGCATAAAAATCTTTGAAAATAGCACTGACATAATTTTCCTCACCTGCCAAAGAGCTCACTTATCTTTTCTCTGTCACCATATCCCTTTATCAACTGAACAGAAGTTATAGTTATTCCAGAATTAATCCCTGGCAATAGGAGCTCTAGGCCATGTATAAACTAACAGAGATGTCATCTCTCCCAATGTTCCCACAGCATTTTTTTCACCTCTCTAATGTATTCCTCACTGTGATTCATAGGTTTACATTCCACTTTCTTAGAATGAGCCAACTCCAAGGATGATAGGGTGTTCCAGATTACTTTAAATGTATTTATATATATGTATAAAGAAACACAATGTTATTGAAGTAAATAATACATACTTATTAATTTATGTACAAAGTACATAATATTCAAGTAATATATATTACTTTGATATATATATATGTATATATGCATATATGTAAGTTTATGTGTTACTCAGTTTACACGTTACTCAGAGCCACATGGATTTCTGAGATTTTTAAAACTTTTAGGCTTGGCAGTAATGATTCTAAGATATCAAAGACTCTGCTACTAAGGGTCATAAAATAGAAAAAATACGTATGTCTATTTCAGCAAATGCAGCAAGAGAGGCAAAGAACTCTTTTGTGTGTGTGCAGATTACCGTGAAGCAAGAGAGTGAACATAAAATATATCATCCAACCCTGAACACTTTTGAGAATGGAAGGAAGTGCTATTAATAATTACACCAGAATGACAGGTGGATCCCAGACAGTTCCAGACAAACTGAGATATCTGGTCATGACACATAAAGCACGAAGAAATAATCATGAGAAATTAGTGAAGATTTTATAAATAGAAGTACATTAAATATGGAATCCTCTCGTGATACTTCAAAGGATTTTCACATTTCCGATTTAGGACAAAGGATGGTCTCTGCTTTTCGCTGCTATATGATACTTTGCACCTCCCCTGATTTGTATCATTGTTTACTAGTGTCTCTTGCATTAACTATATCTGTATTTCTCAAGCTTT